TATATATATATATATAAATAAATTAGAATAGTGTAATCCTGCTATATTTAATAAATTATTTTATTATTAATATAATTTGTTATTTTACTCTTTAATATAAAGTTAAAATGTTTAATTATTATATAATTTTTAATTATTTTTATAATTTTGTTTATTGAGTAATCTTTTACGAGTTTACGAGACGAGTTTACGATACGAGTTTACGGAGCCTTCACGAGATTACGTAAACTCTCGAGATTGACAACCTTGGTTACTTCTAATTGTTCTAAATTTTCTTAACAGATATTTATAGATCTATCACCATTGTCGCTAGAAGATATAAACACCATTAGGGAGCAATGAGCTACATTTTTCATTGAAACATTGGCTAGCTACGAGTTATGTTTATAGTTTTACTCATTTTGTAATTTAGGATGCATCATAATTTGTAAGTTACTTTGATTAAATATATGGTTGACATTTACCAACTCTTGTCATTTGTACGTAATTTGGTCTATTAAAAACATCTGAATTGTCTGGTATTTTATTAATTTGCAAGTTTTTGGGAGTGCTAGAGCACTCTATTTATAGGCATCAGGATTCGCGAAACGACCTGTTTCCAATCCGGAACGGCCCGTTCTGAAATCTCACATCATGTGTAAAACTCGCATCCAGAACGGCCCGTTCTCAAACCAGAACGACCCGTTCTCAAACTAGAACGGCTCGTTCTAGGGTTGCAATTAAACTCATAACGGCCATATTTGGAACGGCCCGTTCTCATCTCTGGAACGACCTGTTCTCATCTTTGGAACGCCCCGTTCCAAACTAAGAATCATAGGCAAATTTAATGGTTTGGAACGGCCCGTTCCGGGCTACCAAAAGTAGGTCTATTTAGTAATTCAGAACGACCCGTTCCAATTTCGGAACGGCCCGTTCCGGCCTACTAAACCACCTTAATTGGGCTCTTGACCTAGTGAAAATTGGGCTGTTACATTCGGAGTATCTGCCTGATGGGATAATCAGTTTTCACCACAATTTGATGACTCTGGAAATAAGGTCAAAGTCGGCGGGTTGAGGTTACTAAAGCCAAAACCAATTTCTCAATGGTTTGATATCGTTTTTCAGTTTCCTACAAAACACGACTGATAAAATAAATAAGAATTTGTTTTTTATCGTCGTCTTGTACAAGCGCCGAACTAAGGGCATTATCGGCTACAACGAGATACAACAAGAGATCAGCTTGACATTGTGGTTTAGATAAAATTGGCGGTGTTGATAGAAAATTTTTGAAATTAGAAAATGTCTGTTCACATCGGTCATCCCAATAAATTTTTTTTGGTTTTTTGAGTAAACTAAAAATAGGTTAGTTTTCTCTGCCATTTTGAGAATAAACCAAGATAAAGAAGTAAGTCTACCTGCCAACCTCTGTACCTCTTTATGACTTCGTGGGCTTCTCATGTTGATTAATGCTTGACACTTATCAGGGTTTACTTCAATTCCTCTACAGGTAATCATGAACCCCAAAAATTTTCCACCTTGAACCCCAAAAACACATTTTCCAAGGTTCAATCACATGTTGTATTTTCTAACTTGTTGAAAAATTTATTTTAAATCTTGGACATGGTTTTCAGCTGACTTGGTTTTGATGACCATGTCATCAACATAAACCTCGAGGTTGCGACCGATCTGCTCAGCAAAAACCTTGTCCATTAATCTTTGGTATGTAACTCCTGCATTTTTTAGTCTAAAGGGCATGACATGGTAACAATAATTGGCTTGCTCTATGATGAATGAAGTGTTCTCTTCATCTAGAGGGTACATCAAGATCTGGTTATAGTCTGAGTAGACATCAAGAAAACTAAGCATGGCATATCCAAAAGCTCCATCGACCAATCTGTAATGATGGGGAGTGGATACGCATCTTTTGGGCAGGCTTTATTCAGGTCAGTATAATCAACACACATACGCCACTTATCGCTTGATTTTCTAACCATTACAACATTAGCTAACCAAGTGGTGTATTTGATTTCTCTGATGAATCTTGCATTCAAGAGTTTTTGTGTCTCAGCTTTCACAGCTTCTCTCCTTTCACCACCGATCTTTCTTTTTTTTGGGACACAGGTTTTGCCTCCCTATGAATGTCCAGTCTATGGCAAATGAAGTTGGGATCTATTCCAGGCATATCTGCACTACTCCATGCAAAGAGGTCAGCATTTTCGGCAAGAATTGACATGATTTTACCTTGGATATCAGCTTCGATGTGTTTTATAATCTTGGTACATTGATTTGACTTCTTGCCAATCTGAAAGTCAAGTAACTCATCTACAGGATCAAGTCGATGGTCGTGCATATCAACTCGGGAATCCAAGTCAACCATCCCATCTATGCTGATGTGGGCCATGACTGTAGAGGTCGGCCTCTCAGGTTGGAGCTTGGTAGGGTTAATCTTTAAACTTTTAGTGTAACATCTTCTTGCTATCTGCTAGTTGGCTTTAACAGTTATTATATGCCCACTTACGTCTGGGAATTTCATGGTTAAGTGAGGTGTTGACACAATCGCTCCTAATTGATTTAATGTTGGTCTCCTAATGAGGATGTTATAGGAAGTGACAACATCAACCAACAGGTATTTCACCAACACTCTTCTTGAATTTTAAGTTGTACCAAAAGAGGTTAATAGTTCAATGAAACCACGAGTATGAACTCACTCACCTGCAAAACCGACAAGGGGTTCGGAATATGGTTGGATAATTCCGAGAGGAATATCAAGTTTTAGAAAGGTTGGCCAATATAGCACATCAACAGAGCTTCCCTGGTTAATCAGCGTCTTATGTACTTCCCAATTAGAAACTTCTACTGAGATGACCATGGTGTCATCTTGGTTTAAACTTATTCCTTCATAATCATCATCGGTGAAAATAATGGGAGGAGTTGGTGCTTCTAGTTTCGGCTCTGAATTGTTAAGACTATTGACATTTTGGACAATACGCAAATGTCGCTTTCTGGCTGAGTTGGAACTTCCTCCTCCAAATGGCTCCATGTATATTGTTCCCTTCAGAAGATTTGTCCATGTGCTGTGGATCAGTATTGTTGGTACTCGGTTTGCTTTCCTCATGTGGGTTTGTTTGATGGTAACTGTTTTTCTCAAATTGGCCTTGGTAATTTAGATATCGTCCCTGATATCGTCCTTGGTATCACCCCGACCTCTGTTGCGTCCTCGTAGGCCTCCTCGAGAAGCTTGACTTCGTTGCACGTACTATCCAAGTTGGCCGGCTTGGATTAGTTCTTCGATTCAGTCTTTAAGGCTCCAACATTCTTCTAATGTGTTTCCATAATTTCTATGGTAGTGGCAATGTTTGCTCTTGTCAGCATTGGCCGAGTTGTGTGCCGGCGGGGGTAGGGATATCAAATTTGCATGGTTAGCCTCTTCTAAAATGTTAACATGAGGAGCGATGAGAGGTGTGTAAAAATCATACCTGGGACCCTGCGTTTGCTAGGGTCTTTTCAATCTTTGGTAAAAATGTGTTTTTGACTTCTCTTTTCCACTTGGTTCTCCCTGGTAGTGAAGCTATATCGGACATGGTTGCGAAACTTGGTGTGTTCCTCCATTTGAATATAACTGGTTGCGCATGCTCTGAGTTCATCCATGTTCGCTGGTTGGCGTTGATAGAGACTATCAACAAAAGGTTTTGCTTTCAGGGCTATGAGCATGGAATGTAAAGCGACTTCAGGATTAAGGTTACGGATTTTTATGGAAACGTTGGCGAAGCGTTCCATAAAATGCCGCAAAGATTCGTCATCTTGTTGTCGCAAGTTGGAAAGTGCGGCTGATGTGATATGGTGGGGTCTGCTTGTGGCATATTGGGCAGAAAAGAGGCGTACCAAGGTGTCAAAGCTATCTACCAATCTAGGTGGTAGTTGGGTATACCAACTGAGAGCAGCCCCTTTGAGTGAAGTTGGGAACACACAACACATGATTTTCTTCCCCTGTCGATGTGCTCGTCAGGGTCAGTGGTTTCGTCATATCTTTCAATATTTAATGTCTTCCAAGAAGGTGGAAGAGGGACTTCCATGATCCCATCAATGAAAGGATCTCGTCGAACCGAATGGTGATCATACATGCGATGATTGATATGAGTATGTTCGGATCGATGAGCCCGATCAGGTTCTGTCGGATATGTGGGATCTGGAGAAGAATGATGTTCCTCGGTTGTAGGAGGAACATGGCTAGTCTGAGGTGTGGGTAGTGGTGGTTGGTGTGTTGCCAATAAGTTCGGAAGGCAGCATTTTCTGCACGTAATTGTTGCATATTGGCTTCATGTTGTTTATGAATGGCTTCCATTGCTGTTGCATGTTGTTGCTGCATCAATTCTACTTGCTCGAGTAGTCGTCGCAAGGTTGGATTGTCTTCCATGTGTGACGTGTCTCTACGTGTTGCACTCGCTGTAGTGTTGGTCTGACTTCAGGTTGAAACCATAAGGTTTTCGGAGGAAAAGTTTTACCAGCCCTTCTTCTAGCGCCAAGATGTTCTTACCAAAATTAGGTCGGTCCTTCAAGTCAGATTGATCATCTTCTTATCTTGGTCTCACACGAGATCATGAGAGATTGGTCTTCGAGGTTGATCTTCGAGATTGGTCGCCCTTCTCCAAGCGTCTTGGATGTACCTGCAAAAAGGACTCTGACGATCAAGTTAGTTATCTGATATGTTCCATGTCTTCGTTATATCATTACCTGTTCCATGTGGTTGTTTCCGATATAACTGTTATACGGTTATTTTCTAAGGGTTACTAGCAGTTAAGTTGATCGTTATTATTATGTTATGTATCTGATGTTGTCAATATGTCGAGATGTATTACCAATGTCATACGTCCAGTCCAACATGTTTATTCTCCATATCACCTCGGCATTTCATGTATTCACTCTAATTTGACCGAGCTATCACCTCGATCAAATTATATCATAAGCTCGGTTAAGCTCGGCTCTAAGTCAGGTTGGTACAGAATGTACAAATACAAATTTGAAGAAATTTATATTTGTTGATTACTGTGACTAATTATTCTTTTAAAATTAATTATTAATTAGTAATAGATTTATTCATTTATTAAAACTCAACGATCCATCTCCTTATGATCAATAAATTTTGAATAATCCTTCATAAACTCCCATGTATATATCTTGAAATAACTTCTTTTTTTTTTGTCGTCGTTGAAGCTAGAGTTATATATTTTTAAACCTAAATCATTGCTCACTAAAAATTATGGCAAAAAGAAAAGGCTGAAGGGAAAGCAAAAAGTCAAGATGTAGATACGTTGTAATCACATATGCAACGTAATGAGTCAAAAGCATAGAATCAAAGAATAGTAATAGGTCAAATTAGTTTCTAGAACGTACACTAATCTCTTTAGTTTCTAAATTTATAAAAATATTTTTTTAAAAATTACTAAATGTTAGTCACTTTAATATTTGGTTTTATATATTTTTTAAATATTAAACTATTTCTATTTTATAACATTAAAAACTAAAATTAATGATAACCATATATTATTAGATAATTAAAGACAACAAAATTACTTTTTTTTATAATTTTAAAAATCTAGAGTATTGGCACTCGTAAATTCCGACTATTTAACCATATAATACGGAATGAAAGGATTTTCTATCCAGTGTTGTTCTCTTATATCCTCAGGGAAAATGTTAAATGTACATTAAACACTAGTACAAAAATGATTTTTAAAATCGATTATAAGATAACCGATTTTAAAAGTGACGTGGTGACAATTTTGTAAATAATAGTATTACTTTTAAAATCGGTTACGTTATGACCGATTTTAAAAGTCTCTGACGTTACTTTTAAAATCGGTTCTTGAAGAGCCGATTTTAAAAGTAGCATCAGAAACTTAAACTTCTATCTTCGCTCCCATTCTCCTCCTAGGTCCATTCTCTACTCTTTGCCTTCAATAGTTCATATATTCCTCTCTTTAGTACTCTCTCGGGCTCTCATCTAAAGTGTGCATCTTCTCATTTTCTCAGAAGAATACAACATCAAGATAACATTGTCTTCTATTGTCTCTTATTTCGTTGTTGCTGGGCGAATTTTGAGTCTGGAACGGCCCCAGAACGGGTCGTACTTCAGCCTTTACACAACCTACATCCTCTACACAATCTACAACCAAGAAGAAAGTCAAAGGTCCCACTAGAATGAAAAATGTTGCAGCCAAACGCCTCAATGAAGAGAGGATACATGTTGATATAGATAAATCACCGGGCAACCTACGGGGGATTCAGCTGCCCAATTTATGAGTACAATGGAGGTTCATGCTAGAACCAAGGTTTCTATTTTATTGCCCAGTTGGGATGAGGTAGAGGAAAATAATAGGTGGTCAGTTGCTTTGCAAGGTAGGAGTAACAATATCGGTGATGAATTTGGGAGTTCAATATGTATTAACTCGTTGTTAATTTAAATGTAGGAAACTTGGGACATTCCCAACACAAAGAGGATGAGAAGGAAGACCCTCTCCATTGTGGCTGAGAGGTGGAGGCAATATAAGACCACCCTCACAAACAAGTATATTTTTGGTGAAAAGAAAGGACAATTTCCTGGTGATAAAAATCCCACTATAGACCAAGAGACGTGGAACACATTTATAGAGTCTAGAATGAGTGTGGAGTTTTTGGTAAGTTAGGATTATATGCATTACCATTTGTGTAGTTGTGAATATTATATTTTACCCTTAATTTCATTATATGATACTTTTGTAGGAGAAAAGAAAGAAGGCACAAGAGACTCAGGCAAAGAATGAAACCTATGTTGTGACGTCTCGTGGAGGTTATGAATGGCTTAAGAAGAAGATCATAAAGGACAAAACTATGAAGTGCCAGACTAGCCAAGATGACAGTATAGTTAGTGATCCTCCATCTCCACCTGGACGCCATGAATTATGGAAGGTTGCCCGCATAAAAAAAATGGCGAGTTTACAACTGAAGCAGCAAAGGAGATTGTTAGCAAGATAGTAAGTATAATTTATTGTTCATATGATACTAATTAACATATTGATCAATAAGAATTTGTTAAATTGTTTATGTGTCATATATTGTAGGATATATTAGATCAGCAGGCGAAAAAGGGATCTTTTGTTTCCCATGGACGACAGGATATACTCACTGTTGCCATTGGGAAGCCCGAGCACCCAGGTCGAGTTCGGGCAGCAGGTAGAGGTCATACCTTCCAAACTTACTTTGGACCACATTCATCTTCACATTCATCTAGGTCGGTGGACCAGTTGCTGGAATTGAAGGTCTCTCAAGTTGTAGCAACTTATAAGGATAAATTAAGCCAATTGAAAGAGGAGATGCAAAGGCAACGACAAGATGAGAATAGGCAATTGAAAGATGACATGCAAAGGCAACTACAAGAGTATATGCAGTCACTTAGCCAACAATTTCAACATAAAATTCCACCAATTGAACCAGTTGTTGCACATGTGAGTACAAAAGGTTCATGTGCAACTAAAAATCCCTCTACTTCTGCCACTGACCATGGTACATCTAATAAGTGTGAGTTATTCGTTGAAGGATCACTCGATCTTGTGGGCATAAGGAGGATTCACATGTTGGGGTCTGTTGTGCACCATCAGACCATGGGAAATGATATGGTAAGGGTTTCAGTGTTGGATGTTAGAAACCCAAAGGCTAGAGTTCCTGTGCCCACACAAGAGGTTCAGACGATGGAACAAGCCCTAAATACCTTCCTTCAATGGCCTTATAAGTTGGTTAAAGTGATATCTACGGAGGTAAGTTATTTAACTATTTAATTTTAACTTGGTGCTATTTTATTATAATGTAGTATAACATTATTTGTGTACTTTATTTAATAGGATGTTGTCCCACCAAAGGCTATGCTTAACCATTCTAGAAATCTAACTCCGATGAAAAAGCTATGGAGATTGGTTGCAGATATGGAAGATGACAATCAATCCAAACAGGTCCCTTGGGCTCCTGAAGTGTTTGGCTTCTGTAGTAATGTCCCCTTGTATATAAGCCAGAGCGACATATCAGAGATTACAAACGGGCACTGCATGTTGAACATATCAATTTTGCAATTGTGGTTATTGTAAGTATTTGAATTAATTTTAATTATGTTTTGTTGTTTTTTTCTAACTTTATTTCTAACCTTGTAGATTTATCCATAAATTGAGTGTGGATAAAAGGAATGATCACATTTATGGATTTTTGGAACCCGAGTTAATCCAAAAAATTGGGAACAAGACAGAACAAATTCAAGCTTACATCCAAAATATGATGTCTGACTCAAATAAAAAAGTTTACTTAGTTCCTTACTTTTCTAAGTAAGTCTATTTGTATATAATTGATTATAAATTTTTAGAAAATGTATTGTCTATTACTGATAGTTTCTCAATGCAGTGCTCATTGGCAACTTCTGGTTATTTGTCCTATGGAAAATATATCTATATGCATTTGTTCGATGCACAAACCTCCTCCTGCAGACTTTAAACAATTATTAGATAAGTAAGTTTTTTTAAAAAAAAACTACTTTATTTTATTTATCATTACATTTTATTTTAAAATATAATAATGATGTCCTTTTATCATTAGGGCTATGGAAGGATACCATATACTTAAAGGTTCAAAGTTGAAGAAAAAAATGCTTTGGGTCTCTCTTAAAGTAAGTTATTTTAGTAATGATATTTTTTCTAAGGTATTTTCTTTTGAATTACCATTACTACTAAAATTGGTTTTTATATTCTTTTTGTAGTCTCATAAGCAAAAAGGAAACTATGAGTGCGGATACTATGTAATGAAGGCAATGCATACTATTGTTGATTCACAAATAGTATCTGGGTGGACTGAAGTACGTTTTAGAATTTTAAAATTTTTTATTTTAAGTTTGCATTTTATCATGTTTTAAGAGTTACTTCCATGGTTGTCAATCTCTAGTGACAACTCGTAAACTCGTACGAGTTTACGAGTTTACAAGAGCTTACCTGTACAACTCGGAGGTAAACTCGTTTTTTAGTGAACTCGGAGCGATCTCGGTGAACTCGGGTAAACTCGCGAGACTACCTCCGATATTAAGAGATCACCGTTTTTTTTTTCCACACACAAAACGCACGTTTTGTGTTGTGTGTTAGGGCACTTTCACTCTAGACCAGACCTCTCCTACTCTCCTCTCCACTCCAGACCTCCGCAGCGCCTCTTCCACGGCTCTCCTCCTTCGCGCCTCACCTCCTTCGCGCGACACCTCCGCGCGTCTCCTTTCCTCTCCGCGCGACACCTCCGCGAGTCTCCTCTCCTCTCCGACGAATCTCCGCCGATCTATCCTCTCTGACAGTGGCTCTGTCTTCCCCGGCATCTGCAGATCTGTCTTCTTCTAAGAGGGAAGGCAGCGGCGACGGCTTGAGGAAGGGTTGCATTGCAGGAAAAATAATTAGGGTTGGAATATGGGCCAAATGGGCCAAGTTTTATTTTTTGTTTTGATTTGGTTAAGAGGGTTTTTACTTCATTATTTTTTTTAGAAAGTAACCTCTCTTTATTAATTATTAATTATTATTATTATAATTTAGATAATATTTTAAGTAATACAAAATTTAATATAAGACCTTAAATATTTTGTTTTCTTAATTTTTTTATTTTGTTTAACTACTATAAATTTTTATTATTAAAAATATTTAATGTATAAATAGTTATATTTTTATTTTTATATGTATATTATTAATTATTTGTATTATAAATTATCTAATATTTATATATATATATAAAAATAAATTAGAATAGTGTAATCCTGCTATATTTAATAAATTATTTTATTATTAATATAATTTGTTATTTTACTCTTTAATATAAAGTTAAAATGTTTAATTATTATATAATTTTTAATTATTTTTATAATTTTGTTTATTGAGTAATCTTTTACGAGTTTACGAGACGAGTTTACGATACGAGTTTACGGAGCCTTCACGAGATTACGTAAACTCTCGAGATTGACAACCTTGGTTACTTCTAATTGTTCTAAATTTTCTTAACAGATATTTATAGATCTATCACCATTGTCGCTAGAAGATATAAACACCATTAGGGAGCAATGAGCTACATTTTTCATTGAAACATTGGCTAGCTACGAGTTATGTTTATAGTTTTACTCATTTTGTAATTTAGGATGCATCATAATTTGTAAGTTACTTTGATTAAATATATGGTTGACATTTACCAACTCTTGTCATTTGTACGTAATTTGGTCTATTAAAAACATCTGAATTGTCTGGTATTTTATTAATTTGCAAGTTTTATTCAGGGATCCTCCTAAAATAAGATAAATATTTAAAAAAAAATTAATCACTTTTAACATCGGTCATGCCATGACCGATGTTAAAAGTGAGACTTTTAACATCGTTCATGCATTGACCAATTTTAAAAGTCTCACTTTTAACATCGATCACTGTTGACCGATTTTAAAAGTCCCACTTTTAACATGTTAAAAGTCTCACTTTTTAAAATCGACTCTTTTAAAATCGGTCAGAGAATCGATTTTAAAAGTAAAAAGTGACCGATTTTAAAAGTGTTTTTTTCACTAGTAAAAAAATATAAAGAAGAAAGAAACTCTTGCATGTAATAAAATTATGTGATTAAAAAATTACAGTGGAAGTATGACGTACGTAAGATAAGTTCAATATATGAATATAATTACTCTTATTTCAAATTCCATCCAATTTTCATTAATTATTACTTATTACATGAATCAAAATGATCACAAAGTAGTTCTATATAGCACTCTCAGCAGAATCGAAGCCTACCTTAGCTGCTACTTATTTGAAAGATAACACTATAGATGTCCTTTAACCTCAAACTAATCAAACACTGCCCTTAATAGCATTACTGTATCCACTTTGACCATCATTGTACCTGTCCCAAATCATGACTCCACCATACTTGGGAGAACTCTTGATGGTAGGAAGAACCTGTGAGGTCAACACATCAGCAGAAATAAAGCCACTACCAGCAGCTGCTGTAGAAGCTGGCACTCCCAAAAACAGTTGCTTGGCCTGGCTTGAGGTCCATTGGTTCCATGAGTTTATGAGATTGTTGGTGTTGCCACTAGAGTACTGGCATGGAGGGTTGTTGTAGAACTGAACCCACACATAGTCAAAGAGGCCAGTTTGGATGGCTGAGTCCAAGTGAGCATCAGGGATTGGACACTGAGGGGCTGCTGCTAGGTACACCTTCTTCTGTGAGCTGAACCCATTAAGGGCCTTTGCAAGTTCATCCCAGTGGCTACCACCACCAGCCTCAATGTCAAAGTCTATGCCATCCAACACAGCATCACCTACCAAAAAATATAAAAATAAAATTAGTTTTGAAATATAATTTATATATAATTTTTAAAACATTGTGAATGACACCAATATTAGTGACCTTCCCAGATTTTACATCAACTATTAATATATATGGTCAAAGTAGTGCATATAATGGGAGAGACAATTATGATATCATTTTAATATATAATTGTGAAATTTAATCTTAAAATATCAATTTGTAAAGTGTAAATTGTTCCATATTTATTAAACATAAAACCTCCAAGACACGCTTTTATGAGGAGAATCAAACATCTCAATATAAATATAAAATTTGCAAGACTATACATTTTTGTAAATAGTATAATAATAGTTTAATAGCAATCGATCTTATATGTCTAACAAATACTAGTAAAATCATAAAAATTGGCCCAACACCCAGGTCAGACAAAGATAAACTTTAATTTTAGGAAAAAAAAAAAGATTAGGCCTATTGAACCAGTAAAATTTAAGTTTGAAAAAATATTTATCTTATTTGGTTATGTCTTTTTATTTTTTTTTATTCTTTATAGTGATTCGATTTAATCCAATCTAACAAGTTAATAGATTAGGTCATATTAAAATATAAAAATAAAAAAAGGCTTGACCATATAAAAGTCAAGTTAAGTTAGACAAATCCCTTTCTCATACTTGAATTAATAGGTCAAATCATAATTACTAACTCATTTGATTGTTCTAAATATAATATTGAATTGGGCTCAAATATACTTTCTAAAACTAACCAAAAAAAAAAAAAGTAATTTTTGTCTCAAATGCATTAACTTCATGTACCTAAAGGGCGAGAGCTAGATTGTCCTCCAAGGAAGTTATTCCAAAGGTAGTTAGCAAGCTGTGTGGCCTCATCAGCTGAGTTGAGAGAGTAGCTTCCACTAGCACCTCCCAACGAGAGAAGCACTTTGATGCCCCTGCCTTGGCACCCTTTGATTTCATCGCTGAATTTGGTGCACCCGTTGGTGCTGGGGTCACAGTGGCCAGCAAGGTTCAGTTGAGGGTTTTGGCCACCACCAAAAGTGGACAAAAACGCTATGTTCACGAACTGGTAGTTTCCAGTGTTGCATGCATCGGCCAAAGACCCCTCGTTGCCGTTTTGGCCCCAATAGACTGCTATTCCCGCGCCGTGGGAGAGCCTCAAGAGGGAAATGATGAGGAGAGGGAATAGCACTAAGAGGGGTGAAATTCGTGGTGCCATGTTAGCTTCTACGTGTGAGTTGAAACTAATAATGAAGTGCTCTCACGTTGTGAATTGGTTTGGTTTAAGGAATGTGGAGAGGGTGAGTGTGTATTTATAGGTGTTGGAAGGGTGTGTGTGTACAAAATGTTGGTGGGGGAATATTGGGAGATAGTGAATGCCGTGACTTGTGGGTAAGAAATTTCATGTTTGCATTCGTCTGCGGGTGGAAAAGTATATGAAACTTTGGCACATTATTTTCTAGTTTGAAGTAATATTTGACTAATTTGAATATAGGTGTTAAAAACTTAAAATCACATCAGATCAGTTCGTTTGATAAAAATATTATTTGATGGAACATATATATCTAGACGAAGCAACTCGACGTAGGGCATGTTTGATTGTGTTTAAAAAAAATGTAACCATAATTTCTCATTTTCCAAAACAAAATTTGAGAAACAAGAAAGGTCTTGCTTTAAGTTGAAGGAGTGTTTAGAGGTTTTAAATACCAAATCAAACATGCTAATAACTTTTTCTATAAGACAAGGAAAATACACTTTAGTGATTTTTACATTTTACGTTTTAAAAGTAATTAACTTCCACTATTAGTTGAAGATTTTTTAGTGCAAATCAAAACAAGAGAGAGGGGGAGGGAGCAAGAGAGATAATAAAAAAAATGCAAGTACAATACAGTAAGATGCAATAGGAGAGAAAAAATTAATGAGAATTAATTAATTGATAACCCTATTTAGAAGAAAAGAGACGTGTTTATGGGGTAACCAACAATGCGTAAAAAGAATGAGAATTAATTAATTAACTACCCTATTTTATAAGGTATTGATTCAGACAAGCAAGAAAATTAGTAGAATGGAAGTTCATTGAAGAACAGAGTAAAACTGGTGAATATTATGGGGTAAGCAACATTGCGAAAAAATATTATTTGAATTGGTCATTTAAAAAATTTATGTTAATTCTTATTCTAAATTATTGTTTATATAAATTATATTGGAATAGAAAGATGCATGTGTGTACTCACGATCCTTATCGAAGATTAAACACTATTTTCTTAGGATAAATACTTCATAATAATATTATTATATTATTAAAAATAAAAAAAATAAAAAAAACTCAATTGATAACTACGTATAGACTGACCGACTCTGAGCTTAGTCTAAAGGTACGACGACCGAGTGTCCATGTGTAAAAGGGGTTCAAAATTCAAAATAACATATATATATATATATATATATATATATATATATAAAATATATATATATATGAAGCAACCAGAAGGCTTCATTGTACCAAGGCAAGAGTACAAGGTATGCAAGCTTAAAAATAATATATATATATATATATATATATATATATATATATTAAAAATATATTTTCAAAGATTAAAATATATACTTAAACCTTAAATTTAAAGGATTTTATTTTATTTGGTTCAAAATTGATAAAGAGAAAAAAAAAACTGAACTAAGATTAACTTAGTAATAATATACACAAAGTTTCATGTTGAAACCTTAAAATTGTTATTGTAATTTCTATAGATAAACAAATAGATAAGGAAAACTAAAAACTATTCCTAACTAATTGGCTTATATGCGAAGAAACGTTCCAAGCTGAAATTGGTTATAGCCATCAATGTTGAAATATATGTCATAAATTTAGGCGTAATATGTGGGGTAAGAGATTGAGTTGCCTAATCTAGAGTTTCAAGCTAACGCAGCCTTCAATTATGAAACGACACAAACTTGAGTTGTATTGGCATTCTTTCTTGGGAATCTGCAAGTCAAAGTCACCGGATCAATTGAAGAACATCCTATGTTCGAGATATTATTGTTTTTTTCTTCTCTTAAACTTTTGTAAAATGTTTAGTTTTTCATTTAAAAAATATGTCATCTCGTTACCAATATTAAATTTTTTGTGATATAATATCTTATAGTATAATATATAAATTTTTTAACTTTAATAATTTTTTACGGCATGGTAAAAATAATATATCATATACTTATTCTTTCACAAAGATGTTTATATAGTCTTATATACTTTACACATTTTATCACTATCATTTTAAAAGGAAATTAATTTTTATGCATGACTAATATAAAAAAAACAAACTTATGTCAGTAACCAATCATAAATCACCATAAAATTAACTTTTTTTTAAGTAGTTATTATAAAAATTAATAATCTTATCTATCATATGTTTTTATTGGAAAACAATATTGATTAACATAAGCGGTGATGGCTTGTGTACCTTAATCAAAACGTTAAAGATCTGAATCTTAATCTTGGATATGAAATAGACTATATTGAAAGAGGAATATTCACTTTATGTGTTTCATAGCAATACCATCTTACCAAAAAAAATATGTTCTTTTATAGGATTTTGAGTTCCTTTGCAATGGTTGTCCGGGACTTTTGTTAATGATTGAGGACTTCATTTTGCTTCACTTCATCTTCCTTTTCCCTTTTTTCATTGTCCAAATGAGTGAGTTAATTACCTGCAATGGATTCGGATTCTCAAAAGACAATCTTACGATGTGTGAAAATTAAGATAAGATGATGGAGGTCCATGGGCGAAAAGCCCAATCACTAGAGCTATGGTCTGAAGGCTAGAGGAGGATTAGGCTAATACTAAGGAAAAATCCATGACACTTTTTAGTTGGGCTGTGCATTAAAGCCCATGAAATTAGGGTTGACCCACTTGGGCTTGTATTTTGCTTGTGGCCTTATATTTTGGTCAAATAGAATAGGTTGATTTCTAGGCCTTGTATTTCGGTCATTTAAATAATAGTTTCATGTGAATTTATATTTAGTGTAATTTGAGACACATTTAAGGTGTAATTAGAATTATGTGACCGATCATGTGAATGGTGCACATGGTGTGACTTAAATTCACCTCAAATGTGAGCCAAATCACATTAAGATGCAAACCTCACATGTGACACATGGAGGTTCCAAGAATCTAGGAGTGGAAATTCAAATTTGAACTTTCAAATTTGAATTTAGGCTCCAAGAGTTAAAATTAATCATACCATGGTTAAATATAAACTCTCGATCAACCTAGTATCCATGGTACTCTTCCATGGTCTATATATAAATTAGGATCTTGTATATTTCTCACTTTTGAGCATTACATAAGAGATTTTTTCTGCATTTTCTCTTGTTGAAAGCCACCTTGAGCGAGGAGAAACCCTTATTCACCTTAAGATTTCCTCCTTGCAGCCTTGGAGTTCTATCCGAGGAGCTTAGGCAAATCTCCTTCAACACTTCTCCTTCTTTTTGTTGGATTCAAACCTTGAAGTCTTCTCAAGGATTCAAGAAGGAGTGGTGTGTGGAAAATCATGGAGTTTCTTCAATCCAAGACTCCATCATAAGAGAAGCTTGATTTGTGTTCATACTTAATGTATGATTGAGAATGTTGTGATTTTAAGTTGTATTGAAGTGGAAATGTTAAGATTTCTTATGATTTTACTCAGTTGAGTGGTGGGGATTTTGGTCCTACTTTTAAAGTGTTTGACTTGGTTATTTCATGGTTGTTTGTGGTTATGACAGTTTTGGTTTGTACTAACTGTATAGCGTGTTTAGATGTGTTAAGAAAATGGTAGATTATGTCGGGATTTCTCACTCAGCAAATAGGTTTTGCTCAGCGAAGGTTTACAGGAAAAAAAGATAGCTTTCTCGAAACGAAAATATTGAACACAATTTTGGCTAGGCAAATCACTGTTGCTACCATACTAGTTGTTTATAAGAACTACCCATACTGAGCCATTCTTGCTTACATGGTTCTTGTCTTAAATTTTCCCGTGATATTAATTTTATTCTCTTTTATAACAGGTATAATGCCGAATTTGGACTACGCTACACATTACAAAATGAAAAATATGTTGAAGCATGTTTCTCAGAAGTGTAATCTAAAAAAAAATTTAGTTGTCTGATTTCTATATGAAATATGCCATCCAAATTATTGTATGGCTGTGTCATGAAACTTCTAAACCCATCCATATTGATAGGCTCCAAAAAATGCATACTTGTTAACAAGCTTTTACTGATTAATCATGTATTTTATAGGTGAGTAAAATCTTCTCTTTTCTGAAATTAATTCTGCATCTGCAACTTTAAGCTTTAACTGAAGCTCATTAATCACTTAAGTGTTCCTCATTTCAACCATCCACGCAAGTTTCATATATATGTAATTTAGGCCAGAATCTCAGGACAAACTTTAATCTAAAAGTACCATTGGTTGCGCCAGTGTACCTAAGCACCTACTTTTTTTTATTATTGAAGGCAGCTTCAAGTTCTGATGAGCGTTCGTACAATAAAGATATGCTGGTAAGAGAGTTGTAACTTAAAAGAAATGATTCAGTAATGTACTGATAGAACGCCATATAATAAAAGACAATGCTGAACACTAAAATCACGCACAATACAGCAATACACATGCTGTCCAGAGACAGTCTCCTATTACACTAATACAACAAACTTGCTGTCCCAGAGCATAAGTCTCTGTCAACAAACTGAAAATAACTTCACTCCTTAATCACAAAACTTACAATGAGATGTGTACTCCTAATACATAACTACCAACAGTTATTTTCTGCACATAAGTGTCATAGTTGCTCCTAATTATTGGTTCCCATCATGTACTTATACAAAAAAAAGAAAAACAAGAGAGATCACAAGGACATACGGCATAAGCATAAGCCATTTTGAATTTAAATCATGATAAAACTATCAGTGTCACTCCCTGTATGAGTTTGAAGTTTTTGTTCCTCCGATTCCAATTCCAAGTTTCCAACAAGGTGAATTCATTTCAAAATTCTTCTCTTTTCATTACACAAGAGTGCAAAAGTTTCATGCAGTTGGCAGTGCAGCAAGTCTATGGTCAGAGAATATAGTGGAACTGGAAACTCTAATCCTTATCTGCACAAGATATAAGCAAATTAACTGGAAAGCAAAGGATAAAAACATGTCCGGGGGCAGTCCTTCCTATAATTTTGCATTGATCTAGTATCTTCAAAATATAAGTAATGTTAATGCAGGACCAGAGGGAGAAGGGGTCAACAATAATAATATTTTGATTTTAAATAACCTAATTGTAATCTTTGAAGGAATTAATTTCTGGAGATTTTATCATTTCTATGCACTTATTATGATAATTACTGTAAAATTGAATTTACATAAAAATGCTGTACAAATTATCAATGAGCTTGAAAACGGATTACTTGCCAGTAAATTTTAAGGTTCCAATAAAAGAGCTCTCTTTGTGTAATAGTAATACAAGATAAACTTATATTTTTCTTTCATGGATATCATTCCATGGATTTTCCTTGTAATCTAGTGAACTTTTGATCTTAGGTTTCTATTTGTGGAAATTTTGAACACCCCTATCCTACAACCCTAATTATGTTTCGATCTACTGTCCCTGCCTTTGACTCCTGCATCAAGTACATTCTAATTACTAGAGTACTAAAAATAGAAAATAATTAAAGATAAAGAACTACAAGTTTTCTTAAGCTACTGTATTAATAGTGTTTGGAGTAGTGAGACATCAATCACCCCATGCATGCAACAAGGATATTATGCTTAATTTGAACCCACAAAAGAGAAGTTCAAAAGTCATCAATCACCCCATGCATGCAACATGGAAGTAATTATTAAACAGTTTCAACTAAATAATTTAAATTTATTCCTAAAATATTAAACAGCTGTTTCGCTGTCTTTCTAATATAAGTAATATATATTATCGACCAATCTCTGATCTCAGAGTAGCTGCAGTCTTTGTTAAATATCCAAAGTTGTCCTTCACTTTACCCTCTTCCATCTCCAACGTTCGTTTCTAATCTCCAAGGTCTAGGAAAGTCTTCGAATCAGTTCCACCATTTACAACATGCCTTAGGGTATCTCTGATTTATATCACAGGCTACCCAAATTGAACATTTCTGACTCCAACAAACGATAAACATAGCAAACGACATGCACTGCCATCGCAAACCACAACGACGAATTTTTCTGTGGGCACCCCGCAGATCTTACTCTTGGCACCTTGTACAGATCTAAAAAATGAGAGATTTTGAGGATAGACTCTCTTAGAGTTATGCTCATTCAACCAATCAAGTTTCACAGCTATATTCTACCTACAAATTGGAAATTCCACATTGACTAGTGGTAAAGCGAAAATAATATATATAAGTAAATAGTAACTCTCATCTTACATGTTGATTATGTAGGATTAAGTTAAATCTAAATCCATATTCTAACATTTGTTGTATTACCCATTATTGGGCTGTTAGCACACAACTATAAGTGAGAGACAATTCTTATCTTACAAGTTTTTATAAAGTTGAATTAAGTTCAAACTCGCATTCTTAATAATTACCTAAACAAACAAAGGAAATTAACTGAACAAAAACATCAAATGAAACGCTAAAAACATACATAAAAATATGATGTCCTAATAGAAATAAGTACTAAACACAATAAAAATAGTTTGCATATTTTGCACACATCAAAATCCCCAGACATAAACATTGCTTTTCCTCAAGCAATAATCCCTACTCAAGGTGTGTAAATTAAAAATGATCAACAGAAGGAACCCACCAATAGATAATGACCAGCCAGAGAAGAGTATGAACTAGAGATGATCACAATAACACCCAATCAGAGGCTAAATTATCCTGGGATCAAGTTTACTATCAAATAAGAGACCTCTCACCTCCCCATCTCTATAAGTGTTTAAGGGATAAGAAATGTCAATTACTCACAGGGAGAATATATTACCATAGGCTTTACCATGAATCATATGTATGAAACAATAAGAATTGATTATGTTAAAGTCAAAAAGTCTTTACGGGCTGTTGCGACCCCAGTGGAATCAAAAATCAGGTGTGATAAGGAAGGAAACGAGCACCAAGAGCTATATAAATAACAATCATGAATTGCATCCCTTAAGATACTAGACCAAGCGACCAAAAGCAAAAATACCAGAATATATGTATACAATGGAATACTAAATTTCTACTTTTCTCCTTTCCTTCTTTCAAAAACATCTACATTCTTTTTTATTTTTATATGTACACAACTTTCTTCTCTCTTTTTTCTTCCACTTTATTAATCAGATTTTTTGAACTAAAGAAGAAAACATTTTAACCTTCTATATCAATTCCCAAAATAAAATTTCAACTTAAGTTGCTCTGTTTAAAATCCAAGGGAACCAAAAAAAACTCCTGTTTTTAATATTTTTGCAATAGGTTCAAAGGAAAATAAACATTGAAGTATAGTACCAAGGAAAATAAAATCTTCTGTTTTTAATATTTGCAATAAGCTCAAAGTGGGCTACTAAAGGCAATATTATGCAACTAAACTGCATGAACTGAAAGAAAATTATCACCCAAGATGCCTATATCATTCTAAAGCATGCCAACAATGAAAATCAATTTAAAATGGTAATAGTTCAAGTTCTGAAATATATAACCAACGATAAATCATTCATAAAGAATAAAGGAGTGGATTTTAATTAATGTACGAAAACACTCCATTTGTGACTAAAATCTCACATTCAAGAAACTGTTTGCTGATTATTACTAAATGATCACTCTTTTATTTATGGGATAATCAGATAATTGGGTTCCTAGGGAATCAACAATCAAAATTCCTAAAAGAAAAGTAGCAGCAAGGATAAGTGAAAAGATATTAAACAGATAAACAAAAATAAAAATAAAATAAAATAAAATAGATAAAAACAATAGTAATGAATAATCAACTCTCCCCAGGTTTGCCCAAATATTGTCTCCAATGTTAAGAAAGTGGAAAGAACTCACATAGTCAAGGAGGGAAGTGGTCCTGAGGGAGGTGCCATCAATACACTTGTATCTGAAGCTCAGTGAGTTATCGACCATAACAGGTGTCTTTAGTGTTGTCATATGTTGGCTAAGAGGATGCAGAGACAGCTTTTGTCAAACAAATCAGAACTAAATAATTCTTCAGCAAAAGCAGTGGAAGACCCCTTCAAATATCCATATTCAGGACCAGCCAAATGAAGTTCACTGGAGATACACCTCTATCCTAAAGCATCCATCAGATAGTTACACACTACATGCATAATACTGCCTCATTTTTGTGTGAAGCAATCCCCTGTCTTATTTTAAAAAATTAAAAGATGTGACATAATTAGCAATTTAGCATAAGCTACTAGCTACCTGCAAAAATACAGGAGCATAAGTTTAACTTGTATTTATTCCATCTGTAATGATTTTTATCATTTAGAATTATCTTTACAAGAACTGAGTGGAAACATGAAATAATAGAACATATACAGTAACTTTGAGAGCAAAATATCAAGCCAACAACAATTGACATAACGTGTAAACATTTTGTGACGATGTAATTGGCTTCTGTCTGTGAAAAATCCAGCTTCAATCAACAGTTTCTGAGTAAAGTTTATTTTATAATCATAAAGAGCAGAAGAAATGGAAGAAATTATAGAATAATTTGGCCTTACCCCCTCTGGAGGACTTGCAAACAAGTAATTACTAAAATGAACAAAAATTATACCTCGGTCTTCTTTTGCTTTGATCTTTTGTGAGAAAAGTTTTCACCCTCTGTCTTAAGTTACAACTTAGCTCCTAAATAAGTTTTGCAGAATTTTCAATTAGTGCCCCTAGTTCTAATCCAACTGCAGCAATGTTAGATTATCAAAGATTGAAAAAGATACTTTGAAATTTTAATTGAATTTCTTGAGCTTAATATATAACTTCTGGCCTTAGTGGGTTCCTGACAAGACAAGTCCAAACCATATCAACAAATATATAATTTTATTGTTAATTTTAAAGTCTGACTCAAATCAATTGAATTTAGAGCATAAACAACAATATTTCCTGGGTTTTTAATCCGTTCTTTCCTTAAACCCTTCACCAGTTACAGAACAATCAAGTGCAGCAACAATATCACAACCATAATTATTATATTTCAAAATCTTGAATCTTGATTCACATGATTCAGTGCATGTTTGCTATCACGTTTGAAACGTGAAAAATCACGTTTAACGTGTCAAACGTGATTTTTCACGTTTCAAACGTGAAAGCAAACACAGGCTCAATCCTAGGTTTCAAATGTGTCTTCTTCAATTCATTCAGGGATTCACTCCATTTCCCACGTCCCTTGATTACCTCATACTCAAATAAGAGATAAAATAAGAATAAATTTACAAAATTTGTTGTTCGAACAAGCAAAACATGTTCTTTAGAAGCCATACATATTTTTGCATATTCAAAAGATAAAGCATAAATAATGCCCGAAAGGAATATTATAACAAATGCTGATACCAATTTGACTTTCTTTTATATATGAATCAAACATCAGTCTTCCAGATAAAATTTAAATTGACTTCAGACTTTCAAAGACATGTAAAAAATTCTAAATAAATTGAATGGAGTAAAGAGCATCCAGCAGATGCAGAATACAATGTAAATCTTATGATTTATGATTCACTTATATAGGACAGAAATGATAGGCATCCACAAAGAAAAAACAACTGTTTTACTGTATTTCATTGCAAGGATCAAAGAACTGTTTTTAACATGCTTACCTTAGAAAGTATGCATCCCAATGGAAAGGAGTCATAACAGGTCATGAATACACAAAAAAGCTCAGAAGCTGTAAAGATAAAGACTTGACAATCGAATAAATAAATTGTTTATTGGTTGAGCTAATGAGTAATGTAAGTAAAAAATCATAATGTAGCACATCACTTGATCATGTTAGTGAACAAGTATCGAGAACACTGGTAAAGCAAATTTAACTCCAAATCCAGTCATTTACATTCCATCATTTGTGGTTAAACACCTATCAAGAGTTATTCTACTCTGCGAGTTTGCATATACAATTTCACTATGGATGTTAAGCATGGTTTACTCACATCAAAGATCATCCTTGAACAATGCCTTGGAAACTGAGCCACTTCGTTGACTCCCATCAGCCAGGCCATTGTTATTATCTTCTGAACCCCTTATCCTTGGGCTTGAATGCTTATTTCCTGTCATTGGGGTCTCACAAACAGTGCCATAACTTGCCCTTTCTCGCTCCTTCCTTTTAGGCACCCTTTGAAGTGGATCTATCTTGGACTTCATACCCATCTGTTTTGGGGCCCAAACTCTTCGCAAAACAGGCTTCCAACTTCTACAAGAAGAAAATCTCCGTGCTCTCTCTCTCCTTTCCTTAGCTTCAATTAGTCTTTTATCATGTTCACCATTTACAATCCTTTGGAATCTTCCACTGCCATCCTTCTGCAACTGAACAGGCTCAATTTCTGCAGAAATAGGTTGGTTACTGACATCATTTTCACCTACCTCATCTCTGTATGCCCTTTTGTTCAATGATTTGTTGCTGTCCTCACTGTTGAGTAAACTATTTGGGGCCTCATCCTCATCAGCAAACAACAGCAGGTCCATTTTGTTGTAGATTTTCTGAACCATGTCTTCAAGTGTGAGAGAATACCTGAATTTTAGGGATTTCACTATCATAAGTCAACAAGCTTTATCTATTTCATGCAATGCAAACTTAATTCCATTGTTTCCATGAAATAAGATAAACAAATGATGAGAAACTCAACATTTTTTCCTTGTTTCTGGTTTGGAGTTTGGACAAATAAAAGTAGGGACAAAATGAAAGGTATTTTACAATAACTCCGAAAAGTAGTTATTTTCATATGAAAGTAATGTTTTAGGGAAATCATTTTCAACCCCATCTCTGGTACATAGCAAATTGGCAAGCAAGCATAAAAAAACTATATATTAGTACAATTGCAATAAATGAAAATAAATTGAGTTATTGTTCACACACTAAATACTAAATAGAAGCTACTAATTCCCAAAAACACTCCATAATTTGTGCTAAAACATATATCAGCTATGGTGTATAAACTTGCACCTGTTTTTGATGATCTTTGTCACATAATTTTCAAGAGTCCAATCACCAAAGAATCCCATTCCCATGTGACATTGAATGTTCTCTAGAAGCAGGCATATTTGTTTTACAAACTTCCGTTTGCAGGAATCCTCAACTCCACTTCCAACCTCTGATTGTAAAATCTCCATCCGAAATAAAATCTGCAGTTCATATCTATTGCTCACTAAGGAAAAACCAAAAACATGGAACATAAGATCCCATAATTACAGCTGATTAGAACTAAACCAAATAACACATCACATGCAAAAATTAAGGGAAACTCTATCAAAGGATACTCTTTAACTACAAGTTCTGTAACAGGTGTAACAGGTTCCGAATCAAATGCTTGAGACTGAGAGAATGGATTTTGGCTTTTATGCTTTGCTGCTATCTCCTTGGGCTCCCTTAATAAAAGTTTTATCAGCTCAGACGCAATCATGCTACCACAGGCTTTATGATCTTTTGAAGGAGACTGACTCTGAGAAATAGTTTCCCTATCAATCTTCTGACATAGCCAGTATATAGATGAATTAACAAGTCGCACTGCCAAGGCCCCCATGTCTACACTTTCAGATTCAATTCCACGATTGATCCTGTCAGCAAGACTGCTGAAAAATGTTTCAGATGTTTCTGACCTAAAGTCTAGGTCAGCATCCTCCTGCATTCTTGATTCCTCCGGTTCAAGATTAACTTCAGCGGAGGCAAATGAGGAGATTGGCTGTTCACCATTTTGAGGTAAGTCATTCAATCTACTCTTAGCCTCTCCGGCAACTAGTGGATCTGGCTTGGGTTTTTCTAACAAAGTTAGATCTGAAAAGCCAGATTTTTTCATCTGTTTCATCCAGCATTTCAAAAACTTCAACTTTTTAGACTTGTTACCTTCCATGGTATAATAAACATCAAGCAAATCTGTGTCAAATTGATCATACACCAACTTACAGAACGAGCTCCACGTGATGTCCCGAAGTGTATTCAAATTAATTTTCTTTCGCTGATGAACCCCAACCACCACAGCACTCTTCTTAACTTGAGAATCCAACAAATCTCCATTCTCGTTATGTTTGCCATCAGATTTGCAAGTTTCATCATCCACCATCCTAATATATTGTCCTACATTCGCTTCACCAAAATTTGGATCTCCTAACACAGAAAATAGAGCAGCAAACACAGTAAAAGGCCTCAGAATACCCAAACATGATCCACCTTTGGCATTGGTAACAGACACCAACGCCCAACAACCTTCCCTATAGAGAAAACTCAACAGCATCTCCCAAACCGGCACCAATTTCCGCTGCCACTGACAACCAAACTCACTTGCAACAAGCTCAAGAACCCTATCAGCAAAACAACCATCCAAATCACCCTTCTCTTTCTTCTTCAATCCCCCGAAACGCTCCCGCACCATAATTGAATCACACAACCACTCCTCTAACTCCACAAACCCATCACACCTCCTCACAACCTTAACCTCCAACTTCACACCTCCCTCCAAACACATCTTCCGAAACCCTTCCCTCCTTTCACAACCTCGCAAATTCGCCAACTCCGAATTAACCTTCAAATCAACAAACTCAAGATCACAACAGTTGTACTCAATTGGACTCCCACTCACATCCAAGATCCGAAGACTCAACTGCCCGCCAACATTAAAACCTCTAGAAGAACAGCAAAGTGAGCTCAAAGAAACCCCAATTTTGGGATAAACAAGGCCAAACGGAACAACAGCCGAACCAAACAGCACCGAATCCAACGAGCAAAACCCCCACCCAAGTCTCCCAACCCCAGTCTCAAACAAACAACGCAATTCCCTCCCTTCATTATTCTCATTACTCTCAATTCCACCCTCAATCTCACCATCAATACTAATCCAACTACAATGAATTCCCCTGGAGCGAAACGCACGACTCACACTACCGAAAAACAAAGAGAATTTTAAATAGAGAGAAGCTGGGTTGGCGATTAGGTTAGCGTCCGTGTTGAAAAAGGACGAAAGGGAAGTGAAAGATGTGAAAGAGGGGGAAAAGAGGAGAACCAGGTTAGGGGAAATAGCGCGAGGTGTGTGGGAGGTGTGGTCGTGGTGTTCCCAGGAGTGGTCATGGAGGATTTGGGAGAGATTTTCAGCAAGGTGAGAGGCGTCGGGGGTGGAGAAAGGGTGGAAAGAGGGGAGAGAGGAGAGGGTGTGGGAGAGGTGTACAAGAGTGGAGGAAGGGTGGTCAAAGGAAAGAGAGGGATTAGAGAGGTAGGGTTGGAGTTTAGAGAAAGAGAGGAGGGGAGAGAGTGAAGAGAAGAAAAGTTTGAAGGCAAATAGAGAAGAGGAAAGTGGAGGGAAAGAAAGGAGGGTTTGGAAGAAGGAAATAAGGCGCTGGGTGTAGCAAGGGTGGTGGTGGAGTGGAGCCACATCGATGAGGAGAACAATACGGTGGGTGTGGCAGTAGCGTGTAACTGGATCTGACTCCATTGCTGCGCGTGTGTGAAGTGTGAAGTGGGAAGAACCGGAGTGAGTGAGGGAAAAGGGAAAGAAAACAATGAAGTAGAAGAGAGATGAAAGAGAAAACGGTAGCGTTTTGGAGGGAAAAAGTGAGTGAGAGGGAAAACAAGTGTTTCAACTTTAAATCCAGAAGAAAGAAAACAAGTATCATCTGTTTGACTCTGAGGCTGAGCTGATAGGGTTTTTGATGTAGATAAACAATATGATTAAAATTTTAATTATTGGAAATTTATATATTTTAATCTTCATAAACTTTAAAATGTTTTAAAATAATTATATTGTAATTAATATTTTAACCATGAATGTTTATCTATATAATTAAAAATTATAGTAAATAAATATTTAATATTTAAATTATATTATAATTAATATTCTTAACAAAAGCATGTTTTGAATAAAAAATTATATTTTAAATTAATGATAAAAAATATTATAATATAAGATTATTTTTAATGATTTGTGACTTTTAAAAATATTAAAAATATATTAAAAAATGTAAAATTGATAAAAGAAATTAAAAAAAATCTTTAAAAATACTCTTATAAAAGAAAATCATATAAAAGAATTTTCCACAAAATACAAATACACTTCTATATTCTTCCACGTCGTATGGATAGTATTAGGGCACACGTCGAACCTTTCTCAAATGAATTTCTTTAACTTTTCAGAATTTGGCTGTGGAAGTTATTAATATCCTTTAAAATTTGTCTCAGTTTGAGTTTAATTTGTTTGTACGATGAAATTTTGTTAAATTTGACTTGTTTAATGTCTATATGTAGTTGTTGGGCATACTCTGTTTATACTATACCAAATTACCAATAATATAATCAGTGTAAATTAAATGATAAATGTATAAATTAACTATTTGTTGTTGATTTAATTCTTAAACATATGTTAATGTTAACATTTAAATAAAAAAATTTATTAAATTTTGAGTTAATGTGATTCTTGATATATATATATTTTTAAATAATTTTTTAATATTTTCGTCATTTCAAAGATTTTAGTGTCTTCAAATTTTTGGAAAGTAAAGTGATTGTTTAATGAAATAAAAAAGTTAAAGTTTATAATATATAAATGTGCACGCATATACGTGCAAATGTATTATAATTTAGAATCTTACATTTATTTCTTATCTTTTAATTGTACTTTGGATTATTTGATTTCTTTTACCAATTAATTATTATTATTTCAGACCTTAATTATAATTTATAAGTTAGATTTTTTTATCTTAATTATAAGTGATGATTATTAATTTTTGAAATTACTCATGATTAAAAACATTTTATACTCTATATATTGTTGATTATATTTCTAATTAATTTACTTATAATTAATATTAAATATAACAATCATTTAAAGTAAAGAGTCTATTATCTAATTAATATATATATATATATATATATATGAAGAATTTATAGTATAATTAATTAAAAATAATTATATTAACCAGTTTTATTGATTTTGATAAAGTAAAATCAAGTGATTATAATTAAGATAGGGGTAATATTATTTTTAATACAACACATAAATTTTGGTAAAAAAAAAATTATACTACTTGATGTGGAGAAAGTCAACTATGACTTTTTAGACCAAAGAAATTGTTTTATTATTGTGGAAGAAAATATGTACAAAGTTTTGATGATGTCAAAGCATTAAAGGTCAAGTTAAAGCAAGCTGATCAAGAAGTAAGATCTCAAGTAATAACTAGATAAGTCTTGACTGCTTAGCTTAGTATGTAAAATGAACTTTTAGAATTTGCAAATTTCACTTGGCCATTAAAATAAGGATTTCAAGAAAACCTAAACTTAATCTTTTTGAATATAAGAATAAGTGGTTTAAAAAGAAAGCAAAAGAGTATTCAAAAGATTAAACAAAAATATTCTTAACTGGAAAATAAAAGCTTTTTATATCTTAAGTTTTCATAAAGCTAATTTTAGTATTATCAGCCTGGTAATCGATTACCAGGGCATGTAATCGATTACCAGAGGATGGAAACTTCTATGTTCAAAATTGAAATGTTAAATGGTCTCTGGTAATCGATTATCAGTGTAACACCCCATTTTTTTATTTCAATTTTATTTTTTAGGGTATTTTGGTAATTTTATAAAGGTGATAGGGGTGAT